ATCGCATTAGTATGAAAATACTATACCAGCCCATGAATGCTTTGTTGAGTCCCAAAAAAACCATCATGATTGGGTGCTATTGAATTCAGTTGTCCCTATAAGCAAGATAAAACCAATTAAATTGAAATATAATATCGTGTCTGTATGGTTCTAAAGGGAATCCTTAGATATAATGGTCACAACATTATTTTGACTTACCAGCCCTTGCATACTCTGCTGGTTAACATAGTAACTGTCATGGGGTGGCTCCATTAAGTTCAACTGTACCTGCAAAGACCAGTTACAAAACGTCATATATGGTACAAGAAAAACGCCATGTAAAAATTGAAAATAAATTATACAAGAAAATAATATGCAATACCAGTCCATGCACATTCTGTTGGGCACCATAATATCCAGTAAGGGGTATACCATCTGAGCTTAAGTTATCCTACAAGCATAAATGCCCAAATTAAAGATAGCGTTATCATTAAGATCACTGTAGGAAAAAAAAAATTCACAAACTTAGTCTGAACTATGTAAAGTACTCGAATGCCCATGATATTCAGTAGTTAAAGAGACAAAAGTAGGGATGTTGTTAGTAAATGGTGGATTGCATTCACGGAATATCTGCAAAATCAATAATTTCCTGATCCAGTGGACTTTAACACAGAACACCGAAATTAGATCTTAAATAAAATGAATAAAGGACAAACCATTTGCTGCAAGCTGTCTTGTGCTTCCACAAGTATAACATCTTGCTCTGCTTGCACCTGCAAAATAGAAACATACTTCCATGAACTTCCTTATTAAGTTTGACTCAAGCGAAGTCAACCATCAAGTTCAGAACATACCTTTCTTTTTCTATTTGTAATTTTCTTCCTACTTGTTTTTGATGCAAGGCTTCCTTGATTCTCTTCTTCTGCTTCACGAATACTATGAACAGTGCCACTAAAGTCTACGACAGTATTATTAGAGTTATTCACGTTCACACAATTCTTTAAAGCTTCAACAAGTGTGCGGAAAGCAATATTATAAGTTTCCTCGGATATTGATCCTTCTTCACTCAATTCAATGGCTCGTTTGCATAAATCATTGTAGCGTTGCACCCTAGTCTGTACTCGCTCTGTTTCTTCAACCATTGATTGCCTGCTTTTTGCATCTTTTGTCCATCTCTTCAAAATATAATGAAATGGGATGCTTGAGAGGCCACAAATTTGGAGAACAATCAGTGAATGTCTACAAAGAAAACCTTTGTACTCGAACAAACGACAGGAGCAAGAAACCTCTGACTTTGTTTCATTCCAGGTCACCATGAAATATTCATCCTTTTCACAGTCTTGAACTCTGAATGTAGTAGTTGGTCCGTCTTCATGTTCTTTCTTTGGCTGGCAGCCAACTACTCCCAAAACCTCAACTTGGAACTTTTTGAATACTGCATGAGTGTAAACTGTTGACATTTGTTTTTCCCAAGGAGAAGGAGATTTTAATGCAGGCTGTTTGTGCCATGTATCAAAATCTGCAATTGCTTCCTCTTCATACCTGTTTTGTAGAATTGTCCCATATTGTTTCACAAACTCTCTCAGAGTAATTTTCTTGTGTATGTATTTATCGAAGAAAGAGTTCATACTTTCAGAACGCTGAGTTGTACACATTCCAGCGAAAAAAGTATCTCCCATATAAGTAGGCACCCATCTTTTACGATCTTCATACAGCAACCGGATCCATTCGTCATCTTGAAGTTCAAATCTGGTAACCATCTTCCACCATCTCAAGTCAAACTGTTCGTCTGTCCAGGAATTAAAGATGCACTTGTTAAACTTTGGCAAGAAATTTTCGTGCCGTTTGATTACATGAGCAAGAGTTTCAGGGATCTTTTCCAATATATTCCAAAGTGTAAAGCAGTGGCGTGCATGTGGAAAGACTTCATCGATCGCTGCCTTCAAGGTTTGGTCTTGATCAGTGATAATCAATTTAGGACATTGCCCACCCATTGCTCTAAGCCACGTCTTCAACAACCATACAAATGTTGATTTAGTATCATCAGCAACCAACGCACAACCAAGCAACATTGACTGAAAGTGGTGGTTCACCCCAACAAAAGGAGCAAATGGCAACTTATCATTTATTTTGATATAAGAAGTATCAAAAGAGACAACATCATTAAAACTCCTATAATCACTCCGACTTTTTGCATCAACCCAAAACAAATTTCTCACACGCTGCTCTTCATTCAAATCTATTGCATAGAAGAAATTGGGATTCTCCTTCCGGATTCGCTTAAAGTATTCAAGCATTACTTGAGCATCTCCCTCATCTAGACCCAAGTCCCGGCATTTATCAAACTGATAGTTTGAATCAGTCGTAGCAAACCCAGTATTTTGATACCCACCAGATTGTCTAGACATTTCAACGTACATCTTTCTAGTTCGTTCACTAACTGCATGCAAAATGTCAATATTATTCTTTTCAGCTAACTTCACATTTCTATGAATCCGAAAATGATATGCTAGAGCAGGTAAAAGCTCATGATTATGCTCCTTTATGAATTCATGAATAATCCACTTTCCATCTGCCCTCCTCTTCACATGCATGCTGGCTTTGCAGTCCGTCTTTTTCACAGTTGGTCGACGACTAGTCCCACTATCCGACTCCGGTGTGACTCCATATCTGGAACATGCAAACTTGGCATCAATAAACTCTTTCGATTTCTTTGAACGCCGACTGTTTTTTATTGAAGTGGTGAATCCCATAGACTTGGCATATTCTTGATAAAATGAGTATGCTGCCTCATGTGATTCAAATTCAATGCCATTACAAGGTTCAAAATCTGTGTCTCCCTCAAACACTTGAATGTCCCTTTTAGGAGAGCTAATGACTACGCCACCTCTATTCTGCACTTCTTCCACAACAGCAACCATATTCATATTTTCACTTACTCTACCACCATTCATATTTTCTGGACCATCCACCACTGTTTCACCCAAATTTTGATTTCTATCCATGATGTTTAGTTAAAAGTAGTTTGTTATCTGTTTCTGAGAAGAGACTCTGATCTTCTAAACAGACCTTCATAGTAATACCTAAAAGATAAAAGGTATAATAAGAAACAATGATACGGTCATCAGAAAAACAAGTGCTTTTCAGGGTGTTCAAAAATACTCAGCGATCATCTCTGTTATTAGCAATATACTAACCAACTTGGCCAGCAAACCTAATAAAAACAAGTTATTGGACCACGTGGACACTCAAGAAGTCTCTGTCATTCTACTTGGCACTCTTTTATGGTGATGTAGAACACGCACGATTGCATCAAGCAAACCGTACCGAGTGCAAAAGACACCAACTCTATCACTGTTGGTACCCAAAGTGCACCTCTCTGACCAAGTACACATACACACAAACATAGTTTGCCCGGTTCAAACTTCAAGCAACAATTGCCAACATATTTCATACGAAATTAAGATATAATCTAAAACTAGTATTTATAAATCAAATAGGAACTTAGCAAGCAAATAAAATAGCGCCAAATTATAAACAGCTAACCTCACATAATCTAGCACACTGAGCCCGTAAGTAAAGCATTAATGCAATAGTTGTGAATCTTCGGAAACCACGTGATGATTAGAGAAAAAGTTTCATTGCTTCACTCAAGTTTATTCACTGGAGCTTCTTATCAAATATCAAGAATGAACAAACGTGCGGCTAGAGTAACAGTAATGACAATTCCCCAGGAGTTTGATTTTACTATGCTTGACTATTTCAGGTCCATTTTATCTATTAACAGTAATGACTGTTCCGTCAAATTGTGATTAATCAATGCCCGATAAAAAAAAAGTTATGGCCATTTTCACCCTCTGCTTGGCAGCTGAGAAAGCTGATGAAATGAACAGAAAAAACTAAAGTCTAGACACGTTTATGCTTTAACACATATTTGGGTCCAACAAAACAGCATATGATCACAATTATTAACTCAATTTTCCCATTTTGCGGCGATTTCTGAGCAACCAAACAGAAAACAAAACAAATTTTCCCAACCAAACCAACAAGTTTGAATAAGTTTAGAAAAACACAAGAAAGAAGTAAAATATGAATTGAGAGAGAGAGAGAGAGAGAGAGAAACCTCAAGTGAAGGCAGCAGAATCAGAGAAGAAGGGTGGCTGATTTCCGCGAGTGGGCGAAAGCTTTCGAATTTGGGAAAGCTTAGGGCTTTGATCTTCTATTTTTGGGTAATTTTGGTTTATCATTTTGGGTTAATATCTGCTTCAGAGCCACAGGCCTGGCGCGTAGTTACTTGAATTATCGGCCTGAATGAATATGAATTTATGAACAACCCCTCCTAATTCAACACAAATGTGTTAGTGTTTTTACAGGGTTAATTATAGAAATGGTGACTAAATTATACCACTTTACATTTTGGTCCTTGAATTTTTATAGTGAAATCTGTATGGTGTTTTTGAGAGACCATTTCTATAATTAACCTTCTGTCTATGCGTTAGACTCCCAATTGTGAGAGTAGACGATTATCAGTTGTTGATACATCACATGCATCAACAGGTCACATATGAGCCTAGCATTGCTCATATGATAACTTTACATGTGTGACTTGTTAGTTGTAACTAATTGCTTTTTTTAACCATCAAACTTTGCAAAGGATCTACTAGTGTAGTGGTTTGGAGTATTTACTCCCTCAAGCAAGGTCTTGAGTTCGAGTCCTAGCATTCATGTAGTGTGTGTAAGTTTAGTATGCTATCGCCCCTCTCAATAGAAAAAGTCTCTCCAACGTGAGACTCTTAAGATATTATATTATATTACACTGTGAGACTTACATGATTAAAACTAGCATTACTTGTATGAAGTGTTAGATCACAAAATTTTGAATGAACAAGATATAGTTAAATTATTGGGTGAAATTAAATTAAATTGACACCCACGCACTACAATTCTTTCAAAACAAAAATTAAACATTAAAAAGAAAAGAAAATTGCATTTGGCAATTTGGCAATCAGTCAATGGAATTTGACTAGTAATAAGTTATTCTGATTTCAACTGACCCTATTGACTGAGGCTAAGCAATCAGAGGGTACAATAATACAACATCCTTTACAAAACATATGAACCCTGATCAAATTTTCTTCCTACTTCCAATAAGATCGCATAGGAAATAATTAACAACAGCCTACTCTATCATGTCTTATTGTACAGGTACCAAAAGAGGAGGTTGCCCACAAGGCATGATACATTTCTTCCTTTTTCTTTTTACATGAGAGATTATCTTCAAAACATCTCCTTCACCTACAGAATAAAATTCGAATCAGTTTTTACCGTGTTTCAAGTAAAACTTTAGCAAACAGCAAAAAAGTTCAATAAATACCCATTTCAAATGCAAGCTGCCAACAATGAGAAACATGTTCCTTAAGCATGTCTTGATGCATCATCATGCAATGGAGCAGTTCTTACATTCGGGTCATCCTGGCATGAGGAGAAAACTATTGTAAGATAAATTAAAGTCAAATACATGATTTAGGAAAGCCATTAGGGCCCAGGTCTAGCAAACTAACCCGCATGCCATAAGTGAAACCACCTGGTGTTCGGAAAAAATCCATCTGTCCCTGCAAGCACAACGCCACAAATTATAAAATAAAACCATTTGAACATCGTCATAGGCAAATGTATTCGTTATCATAAGTTTGCCGTACCAGCCCATGCATGCTTTGCTGAGCACTGTAATAACCATCATGGCTTGGGGCTATAGAGTTCAGTTGTCCCTACATGTATGAAACCCACGTCTCAAAGTTATATTCATTTACATTGCAGTATCACTAGTCTTTTTATACTCATTTAAAAAATTAAGACTTACAAGCCCCTGAATGGTCTGTTGATTCCCATAGTAATTATCCCGTGTAGGTGCCATTAAGTTCAATTGAACCTGACAAAAAGGAGGAACAGATTGAAAATAAGAAGAAAAAAATCAAAAACTGCTTATTGCATTAATACATAAAGACATGGTCATACCATTCCTTGCACACTCTGTTGTGCACCGTAATAGCCATCAAGAGTTACTGCTCTTGGGTTCAATTTGTCCTACAAAATATTACCATAGTCAACTCAATTGTAAAAAATTTGTATTTTCAAATCATAGAACACAATATCGTTTCATAATATTGTGTAGCCATCATAACATTGTTTCAAAACACAATACGCGTACAGATCATGATACCAATTTGACGCATATAATCTAAAACAAATATTTGTTTTAATAAAAGCTTAAAACTCATAGAACAAGACACACCATTTGTTGCAAGCTATCTTGTGCCCCAACAGTCATAACATCCGGCTCAGAGTTCACCTGCAATTTGATTAGAAGGTCAACTTTAACAAATATAATTATAACAAGAATATCATAATTAAGTCACTACCAACAACAAACCTTCCTTTTCTTGGTTGGATTCTTTTTTTTATTTGTCTTGCCCATACTTCTATTTTGACTATCGTCTTCAATACAAAGCAGACCATGAGTGACTGATGATGTGCCAGCTTCTATCAGACTCTTACTAGAATTATTTACACTCACACAATTTCCAAAAGCTTCTTCTAGTGCACGGCATGCAACACTGTAACTCTCCTGAGATAGAGATCCTTCCTCAATCACTTTCATAGCCCGTTGACATAAATCATTAAATTTTTGCACCCTGGATAGTCCATGGTCAGATTCTTCTCCCACCAAATGCCTGTTCTTTACATCTTTTGTCCAACGTTTTAATATATATTGAACTGGGATTGCGGAAAGGCCACAAATTTGGAGAACAATCAGTGCATGTCTACAAAGATAACCTTTGTATTCAAATAAGCAGCATAAACAAGAAACTTCTGTCTTCATTTCATTCCATGTTACAATGAAATCTTGATTCTTTTCAAAATCTTGCACTCTGAAAGTAATGGTCGTCTCATCTTGCCCTTCCCTTTTTGGGTGGCAGGCAACTGCACCTAAAACCTCAACTTGAAATTTCTTGAATACTGCATGTGTGTACACCCCTGAGACACTCTTCTCCAAAGGTGAAGGAGATCTCAATGTTGGCTGTTTGTTCCATGTATCAGAATCTGCTTTGGCTTCTTCTTCATACCTATCTTGTAGAATTGCTTCATACTGTTTCAGGAACTCTTGTACAGTGGTCTTCTTATGCACATACTTATCGAAAAAGGAGTTAACACTCTCGGATCGCTGAACCACAGACATCCCAGCCAAACAAACATCCCTCATGTATGTTGGCACCCACTGTTTTCGGTCTTCATACAATGACTGAGTCCATTCATCATCTTTGAGTTCAAATTTTTCAAGAATTTTCCACCATCTTTTTTCAAACTCTTCATTTGTTGATGACCTGTGGATGCACTTTTCAAATTTCGCCATAAAATTTTCATGCCGTTTAATTACATGGCCAAGATTTTCAGAAACCTTCCCCAAAATATGCCACAAACAAAAACAATGATAAGCATTTGGAAACACCTCTGAGATAACTGATTTTATCGATTTGTCATGGTCAGTGATTATTACTTTTGGAGCTTGCCCACCCATAGCTTTCAGCCACGTCTGCATTAGCCAAGAAAATGTTGTTGTACTTTCATCTGATACCAAAGCACATCCAAGCAGCACGAACTGATAGTGCTGATTCACTCCAACAAATAAAACAAGAGGCATTTTATATTTGTTCCTAATGTAGGTGGTATCAAAAGACACCACATCACTGAAATTGATGTAGTCATGCCTACTTTTTGCATCAACCCAAAACAAACTTTTCAGACGTTGATCTTCTCCCAGATCTATTGCATAGAAAAAGTTGGAATTCATATTCTGCATCTGTGTGAAAAAATCAAGCAAAATCTTCAAATCTCCTGCCTCTAATGCCAAATTCCGACCTTTATCAAATGGATTTTTGGGATCATTTTTTAGGCCAACCACATTTTTGTATTCAGCAAATTGTCTAGCCATTGCAGCATACATCTTTCTTGTTTGTTCACTAACTGCTTGGGCTGGTAAAAGCTCGTGGTTATGCTCCTTCACAAAATTATGTATAACCCATTTACCATCTGGTCTTCTCTTCACATGCATCGAAGCTTTGCAATCTGTCTTTGAGCATGATCGCCGACCAGTCGCATTTTCCGGGTCTTGCTTGTTCTGTCTGGCACGTGGTCTATTATACGACTTGTCATACTCACGCTTGGTCCCATATCTGGAACAAGCAAATTTTGCATCAATAAATTCTCTTGATGTCTTTGACCGGCGGCTATTTTGGATTGCAGTGTTGAACCCCATAGACCGAGCATACTCCTGATAGAAAGAGTATGCTTCCCCATGTGATGCAAATTCCATACCAAAAAGCGGCTCAAGATTTGTATCCTCTTTAAAGACTACCATATCTGCTGTTGGAGAATTCAAATCCCCGCCATCTTCAGCATGTACCTCATCTCTAACATCCACAATGTTTCCATTCTCAATATCTCCATTCTGCAATTTTTCTTCATGTTCTAACATGTTATCAATTCCATGTGGTTCTTCATCTTCTTTGTCAGGTTCACCAGAAGGTAGCCGTAGATCTATATCCATAGTGAGATTATTTAATTTCAACTGATTATTATCGGAGAATATCTGAAAGAAAGAAAGGACAACAGTTGCCAGTAAATCAGAAAATGAAAAGAAAAAAAACTACGAACTCCGAGGATGATAATGCCAATAACAATAAAACATCAAGATTCCTAACTAAAGCAAGAAAAAGAGTTACAAACCATTTTGGACATTCGAAGTACAATGTAACTAACAGATCCAACTAGATTGTCTAGCCTTGTCAATGTCAAAAAGATGATGACATCCTCTTCTTCCAACATAAGGGACCAGGATCACCTCCCATCATATCTTAAATGATAATATAAAGCTTTGGCTGGAGACATAAAAGAAGAAAGGAGAATGTTCCTCCTTAATTAGAAAGATAAATAAATAGAGAGCAAAAACATTAATCCTACATGACTGAAAACTTCCATAGAAATAGCTAAGTGAACCACTATCACTTATGAAATTGTGATAGTTTAAGAGGTTTAGGTGATTATCAAAGATAGAACAAATTGTGTTGGGGGGATGCTTTTCACAACCACCAAAAGAACTATCACTTGATATTCAGAACTACATATTCACGTAGTCAGTTATGGGTGTGAGAATTTTCTGTTCAACACAGGCATTCCACATATTTGGAGTGTCCAGCAGCCATATCCTTGTTAATATCATGTCACATTGCCACAAGTATTCAGGCAGGACCACCAAAGTGAAGTGTTTATAACTACTATACCAGAACAGGGTGGTAAGGCACTTTCTTGGAGGCATAGGGTGTTGTCCTGAACTCACCTGAATACCTTTCAGGGAACAAAACTTGAAAACCCTTTTAACATTCTTAAAAGAATTTCAGAGTACTCTTTCACCGTTTTAGCTAAATATGAGAATGTTTTAGTACTAGAACACATTTCATTCAATTCTGAAAAGCCCCTCAGGCCTTTTCTTATAAATGATATGGAGAATGCAAAATTATGCACAGCACATTCCCATTCTATAGCCAATTTAACACAACCTGAAGATATTAAACAATGAGAACAAGAGACACTCTGAGTTCATTCATTCATTCAACATTTTTTGTTATTGAACATCTGCACTAAAGAATTGCCATAGATGCAAAATCTTGACTACAAATGCATCTTGAGTTCTTTACCTTTTTTGTTTTTCCTTTTATTGAATTTTCCATCAAAAGTAAACTAAAATTGGAGAATAAAGGAAAAAAATAAAAGCCAGTCAAAAATTGCAGTAAGATGTACAACTTTTCCTTTTGAACCTATTAATAAATTTTAACATATCAGATACATAACTAATAAAATATATGATAATTATCTATCCATAAATTATCATTTAGGAAACCATAAACATGTATATCAACATCAAAAAGTGGCTAACATGACATTGCAGAAAGCATCTTAATCCAATACCAATATATTGAAAAACCAGTCTAAAGGTCAAAGAACGCTCTACAATGTCCAAATAACAGCAAAAGAGTATATATTTCTACCACAAATGAGGTCTTGTTTAGGAAAGGAACCAAAAAAAAAAAAACTGAGCTACATTTGGCAGCAGGATCAGGGTGGTTTGTCTACGTTGAAGAGCAACACCACACACACACAGAGATGGAACCACCTAGAGAGGGAGAAAGTACAAAGCCAAACCAGACAATACAAATCAAAACCCAATCCAACTCACACGTCCCACATTCTGTTTCATCATACAATTTCTAATCCTAAGGAACTTGCAATTACATTCCTAAAGTATAGACTACCATGTCATATGCTGCATACGGAAAGAACTGGGCAATCATACTTTATATGCTAATAAGCACTCCACAAGCTCCAAAATGTGCAAAACTGCAAGTCCACTTGGGAGACTAACTGGACTACTAAGCCTGTTTAATAAATAAGGTATTCCCAAGTAATGAAATTCGAGCTCAGCTGTATTTACCATGTTGGAAAATTACTCTGAAAAATGAAATTAGACAGCCAACTTCTGCATACAATTTGTAGTAAAACATAACAACAAGGCTCAACACATACTCTATAGTGATTTATAGTCACTCCCCATTTTCAAATCCATTTCATTATTTTGTGTCAAATGCAAGAAATCAAATGACCCACATGAAAAGACATACTTTTTACACAAAACTAAAATAAAAATACAATCTTTACAATCCATACAAATCCCAAATAGCACAGCAATACATTCAACAACAGAAAAACCAAAAAGAAATTTTAAAACAACGAATTGGTTTTCATGGAGAGAAAGAGGGAGAAAGAGGGAGAGATATATAGAGAGAGAAGAGAGGTCTACCTCTCTCTCTGTGTATTACATATGGACGAAGGAGGTGGAGAAGGAGAGAGCTTCGATCTGAGACTGGGGAAGATGATCGCGCACGCGAGGGGGTTGAGCGAGTGGCCAATACGAAGGTCCTTTAATTTTGCCCCCAATTTGTTTCTGTTTAGGGTTTCAAAAACGCTCGATCAATCTGACTCTCACCTTTCCTCACTCGCTGCCTCTTTTTCCCCTTTTATTGATTTATTTCTTTTATTTTTGGTCTAAATTTTTCCTAATTTAATTTATTTTAATTTATTTCCCAAACCTCGCTGCCGCACGCGTCGTGCGTGCCAGCCCCGCTGTTGCTGTAACCACAGAGATGTGGGTCCCGCCTTTTGCAAACGTTATTAGCTGAGTGCGCGTGTCACGCGTGGCTGCCTGCTCAACAAATCACACGTTAGCTGCCTTCTCTCTCTCCCACTCTCTTCACATATCTATATATCAAATTTATTTTTGTTTTGCTTCTCTAAAAAAAAATTTATTTTTGTTCTGTTGATTTATTTGCTAAATCAAATAAATGAGTCGTCCAAATTCAAGGTTTTTAAAAAAAAATTGGTATGACTGTCACACGTTATGATTGCGAATTTGCGATATGGGAATAGAAAGAAAAGTTTCTTATACACACACTACTAAAGTAAACTCAATTTTAAGAAGTCAAACAGTGCTCATACTAGCATACTTGGTAATTTCGTGTACAAACATTTTAAGAAAGTACTTTTGTTTTTACACACATTTAAAAAATTTAAATGCGTCATACAAGTACAAATTGTAACACCTTACATTACGTCACATTGTTTTCCTTTACTTAAGACCTTACATTAAGTCACATTACTTTCGGTTTTCCAATTTTCTCAAATTAGGAAACGATCCCTAACGCTATATTTTCACTCAGAAATACAGAGATTCCTATCTCCTTTTCATCTTGTGAACCAAGTGCATGGGACCCGAGCATATTTCTTTCCATGTCCATGATTGTTGGATTTCTTTCTTTTTGAGCCACAACTTTTTTTGGTTCATGTGTGTATATGGTGAAGTCAATGAATGCCTGCAAAGCCCATTCTCTTGACCTATTCTTTCAAATTCCGTTGTGACTGATACCTTCGAACTTTCCTAACAACAAGTCTTCTCTTTGACTTAATACATTGCGAAAACCCAACACTTTCTTCTTTCGGATCCCCAAGTCTCTCAAGTTAAACCGGAAGCACTCATCAAACTCCCTTTGTTAACAGGGCACAAAAATGACGTGAAAAGCTCATCCATGTAGCTTTCAGTTTTTCCAAATAGAGGACGTCAAATTCTTCAAAATATGTTCAGAAAAGGGAGCATCTTGCCATGCCATATATAACCGCACCTATAAAATTCTATGACCATTGTGACATGCAAACGTACAGAAAGTCACTGAAACTTCATTAAGAATAATAGTTTCAAATCGAATCACATACAAACATGACAACTTTATCACATGTTGATTCACGCATTTTTCTATAAAAAAAACTGTCAAAATATGTATTTAAACTTAATCATGAACAGACACTTCTATAACTTCTATACGCGTATAATTTTCGTACCTATACAAAAGGCCCTCAGCTCTGATAACCATCTATCTTATTTGCTAGCTTCTCCACCAAAGCAGTTGCCCGCGCATTTGCATTTGAATTCTAAAGCTGGAAGATGATGAAGAAGATATGTTTCGATCATAGAATTTTCCTTGAAACTTGTGTAGAAGTTTGTAAGCTTCAGTGGAGGGGAGAGGAGAGACAGGGAGACAAGTTGGTTTTTATTTTCTTGGGTTTGGGATGTATAGGGTTTAGGGTCTTCGCTTTATGGATATTGGAAAAAAAGAGAGAGAGAAGAGAGACTGTAGAGTTGTAATCCAAGGCAATCACTCTGTATCTCAAACGACTCAATATTTTTTAGGGGAAGCAATGATTTTAGGATCTTTCTTGATGCATGGTTAATTTGTATAGGAAAATTACTTTGCATATTATTGAATCTGTAATCTATACCATAGTCTCTCAATTTGTATATCACTTTTATATTTAGTTTTTTATAATCAACTGACATGGAGGATTTAGATTCAAGAATATGTTATTGATTTTGATAGTCTCACTTGTTTCTTTCCATAACTATACATTCCAATTTCACATTCGTGTTACTTATTTATTAACATGAAAGGTATCATGTTAACACGGTATAGCCTAGTGGAAAATAGTTTTAACTTACAAACCAGTAATCTCAAGTTTAAACATTCATAATACAATAATAGTGTGTGTATGAAAACTTTTCTTCAGACTACCGTTTATACTTAAAAAAAAAACGAGTATAAAATATTTTTGGTCACCAGAGTTAGGGTGGAGAAACATAGAAGGTGCCATTATCACCTAAGGCTAATCAAAGAAGTTCCTTATAATCAAATAAATATTTTATTGAAGCTTTATTAAAGGGATCAAAAGATGATTAAAAAAATCAAATTATTAGCCAAAAAAATGTAAAGGAACTATTAAAAAACATGAAATAAAGTAAAGTTGAGGAGAGAGACGAGATGAGAGAGAATAACATTTTAGTGGGACCCATACAAAAACGCCAACATTAATAACGCACCAACACCCATATTTTTCTACCAAAAGCAAACCTAATACCTTACACGTCCACTGTGTCATTATATCTTCCCATACTGGTGAGTCTTGAGTCTGTCAACGGCCCAAAAGTTAACGCCTTTTGTTTTTGTTTTTGGCTTTTCTTTGCTTCTTCAGCCGAAGGCCAGCAAATTCTACTATTTTTTCTCACTTCTTTCTCTTTGACCCGTTGCACAACTCCTCCATTCCATTTCACAACTGGGTTTTCCTTTTCCTTTTCTGTTTGTCAGTTTCAACATTTTATTCTTTTGTTTTTTTGTTAATATTTGTATTATCTGTGAGTGGTGGCAAATTGAGAGCAACAGGTACCGTTAAAGTAAATTCTTACTTTCTTTTTGGGGTTCCTCAAAATTCATTTTTATTTTTGGCTTTTGGGTTACAGAGAGGGAACACTCTTCTCTGAAAAGCTCTCCCCTTTTCTTGTATTTCTAGTCTTCTTCCACTCTCTAGTTTGGGAGTGCTAGGGTTTTTGGTTTGCTTTGGGCGGTGGGTTTGGTCTGAATTGGGAAGTTATGGTGAGAAAACATGGATGGCAACTACCTGCTCACACCTTCCAGGTACTTACATGTCTTCTCTAGTCCAGACTTGTATCTCATCTCTTCATATCAATGTCAGTTTATGTTTTTGTGTTAGAATATTGATTAGGGTCTGCTTAAACCGCTTAGTTGCTGATGTGGGTTTCTCTCAGAAGGGCTAATTATAGTCTGATCCCTGTTCTGAATGTGGGGTTTCATTAGTGAATTCGTGTAAAAGGACAAATTTTTATGGCCATCATTTTTTCTCCAACTGTTAGTTAGGTCCTTGTGGTGTGCTTTTACCTTTTTTTGGGAGGAGTTTTGGGATGGGATTATGCAGTATTAGGTTCCCAACTAAGAGAAAAAAGTTGGAAAAGCTCGAATGCTTGAGTTTATGCTTGTTTGGGCTGTTTAAACTTGAACCTAGCAAGGTAGCATTTGTTCATTTTCCTTTTGCCTATATATCTACCCATTTTCTGGACACCGGGTTATCTCTTTCTTGTTAATTTATCATTATTATTATTTATAATAATTATTTGTTAATCGAGTTATCACCTAAACTATGTTTTTCACTTGGCAGGTTGTCGCTATTACCGTATTCTGCTTGTTAGTGGTTGCGTTCTATGCTTTCTTCGCGCCTTTCCTTGGAGGCCGTATCTGGGAATATGTTTTGATTGGAAGTTACTCTCCAGTGGTATGTGAAATGATTTAATTTAAGGTTTTCATATAGGTCCAAATTTGATATATATATTTTTCAAAGATAAAAAATTTAATGGGGCCAAACTAGACTAGATTTTCTAGAGTTTAAAATTGAGTCTCTATGCCGGTCACTTCTTATAATGCTTTAGCCTTTAGCACAATTCATCAGAATCATAACTAATTTCATTTCTTCTAGATAGATTTAGCTTTTTATGTCTGATGGTATTCCCATAATCTTGTCATGGCATTTCAGGCACTGCTTGTCTTCATTCTTTACGTTCGATGCACTGCAATAAATCCTGCAGATCCTGGCATTATGTCCAAGTTTGACAATGAAGCAACAAATAGTATCAATCCAAATCATAGGTTATCGGCAAAAGACTTGCCTAGAAAATTTGATGAAACCACCACTGGGCATTCTTCTCCATCATCAGTTTCCAGAAGTTCTTTAGCAGGAGCTAACTCTAGTAGGAAAGGCTCAGTAGGAGAACTAGGGGGTGTAAATATTGTAGCAGAACCCACAACCAGGAAATGTTGCATAGGTGGAATCTTCTGTGCATTGTTTGTACATGAAGACTGCCGCAAACAACAGGAAGGTGCAGCTGAGAGTCAAGGTGGTGAGGATGCTTTGTTCTGCACATTGTGCAATGCTGAGGTACTGCATTATGACAAGCATAGTATCATAATTTATCAGTTTAAACATTCATCACTTCTAGTCATTTTAGTTTCTCATGTGCTTCTTTATCAAGCTAAATGCTCCTAGTATTTTGTATTGTAAGCTGTGAAGCTGCTTCATTTCCCAGGAAGAAGCTATAGAAATGCTTTAAGTTATGATCTCAGTATACTCTCTCTCAATAGATTCTTGGCAGTTGAGTTGCTTACATTATTTGGTGCAAAATGAATCCATATGATCTATAGAAGTGACCATACTCTGATAATAGCTTGAGCAATTAAGGTTTATAAAATCTTGTTTTTTAACTACAATGAATACTTTTCATGCTGCAGGTCCGCAAGTTCAGCAAGCACTGTAGAAGTTGTGATAAGTGTGTGGATGGCTTTGATCACCACTGTCGGGTATTTTTCATGTTGTTTGATGTATTGTGCAACTTGTTTTGGGTTGACCTATCTTAATATTCTCTCTACAAAAGTAACCTCAATATATTACATGCCTGCAGTGGCTGAACAATTGCGTGGGACACAAAAATTATGTGACTTTTATCTGTTTGATGGCCACCAGTCTTGTTTGGGTAGGTATTGCAGTCTGATAATTATCATGTGCGGTAATAATCTTTGGTACTAAAGATGCTCGCTCTCTGCCCATTTTGGTTCAGCTTGTCATTGAAGCTGGAGTTGGTATTGCTGTCCTTGTGCGCTGCTTTGTTAATAAGAGAAGCATGGAGGCAGAAATTATTGATAGACTTGGAAATGGTTTCACTCGTCCCCCGTTTGCAACAGTTGTGGTACATCTTATTCTTTAAATGCTCTAAACTAAAGTTAGCATCCTAATCTTTTGCCGGTATCAATAGAAAAATTGCTGTGCTAACTTTGGGTCTTTGTGTAGACTGTATGTACAGCAGTTTCTGTGCTGGCATGTGTTCCACTTTGTGAACTATTCTTCTTCCACATGATACTAATTAGGAAGGTCAGTGCCTTTGGTTATTGAACTCATTTCCATGATGCTAAGTGTAGTAAAGGAGCTTAAGGAAGAGCTTTTATTATATTTCAAGTGATATAATCTTATTTTCTGAATTTTAAATTTGAATTAGGGTATTACAACCTATGAATATGTTGTGGCAATGCGAGTCATGAGTGAGGAACGTGGACAATATGTAGATGAGGCTTTCAATAATTTCGCGAACTCTTTTCGGAATTCCCCAACAGGATCTGCTACAACTGGCTTGAGTGGTGGGAGTTCTTTAGGTCTGCAGTACAAGGGTGCATGGTGTACCCCTCCAAGAGTATTTGTGGATTATCAGGTACTTTAGTATTCACTTTGTATCTTAATTTACTCTTAGTGAAAGGCATTGACAGTGGTTCAAATCAAATTAACTTTAGGCTTCAAATACCTATCTTTAACCTGTGGTTTAATATGTTTTTAGAAGTAGATATTGACAAGATGATTAATTGCACTGTTCTTGGGTGGAGAGCAGTTTGGTCCCAGTTAATATTTTACAACTTACGGAACAGAGAGTAAATGAAACTAACAAGGTGTAATCAGCAAATCCATATCTAATTATGTGGGGGCTGAAACTTGGTATCTTTTTCTTTTCTTTTCTTCCCACTGTTTTTTTTTTTTGGTGGTCAATTTCTTCCCACTGTTTCTCTAATGGTCAGGCCCATGATGCTCCCATGTGGTCTGAGGTTCGAAACCCCCAAAGTTACCTACCTAGCTATTTGCTAGTCTTTCCTGCCTCCCAAAGATTGTAGGTTTCGGCTGGGGGGCCCAGTTTCAGAGCTGTGTCCGCAAGGCGGATTGGTGGATTTCTGGGTATAATGGCCTTTTTTTGAACTTATGCAAGTGTAGTTAAAAGAACTACATTGTTGTTTAATCCTTCGTCTTTTCTTCATGTACATTTTTCAATCTGCTCAAGTATGAGGAGTTATTATCTGGATGCTGTATATTTGAGTTTTTTTGCTTGATCCAAATGATGGCTTAAATAGTACAATTAATGTTTTCTATTGATCTCGCATAAAATACAATTTTCAAAATTTTCTTCCCATTTTCTTGCCCTTCAAATATTCTTCCTTTCTCAATTATTTTTCTTTCCTCCATTAGTGGCTTTTAAGAATGGGTACAGGAATTGCCAGCATGGACCCACAACTAGTTTCCTGTCTTCTGTTTGACATATATATCTTTTTTTTCCTCTGGGAGAAGAAAACTTTGTATATTTTACACTTGACACGAGCTTTGCTTCATTAGGAAGAAGTTGTACCACATTTGGAGCCTGGAATGGTCCCATCAACTATTGACCCGGATGCAACTGGAATTACAGAAAGAGAGCAGAAAGGTCCTAAAAGGCCTGTTCGCATTAGTGCTTGGCAGCTTGCAAAGTTGGATTCCAGTGAGGCCATGAGAGCAGCAGCCAAAGCCAGGGCATCATCCTCTGTTCTACGACCACTTGATAAACCTGACCTTGAACTTAGCTCAAGTGGCAATATGAGTGTGAGAAGTAGTGTAAGCACTGACACAGGGGCAAATAAAGAGATTAAGAACGAGTTGAGGTTGTCAAGAAATTCCTTTGCTCCAAGTCAAGGTAGCCGAGATGAGTATGAAACTGGGACTCAAAGCATAAGTAGCTTCAGTAGTCCAAGTCATGTTCATGAAGCAGTCACACTTAGCCCTCTACCACAGGGAGGTCTGGGACGTTTTAGTGCAGCCACTTCAGTCCCCAGCTTAGTTCCTGACCGTCCATTAACTTCCAAGGCAACATTGCCTAATGTCAGCTTGGGATTTGATGAAAAGATTATGCAGAGGGGAGGTACTACTGATCCATTGCTGCTGTCAGCTCCAGCTTCTTCTCTTTTCAGAGATGTCAGAAGGACATCCGTTGTTTGGGACCAAGAAGCAGGGAGGTATGTCTCAGTTCCTGTATCAGCTTCTGAAGCTCGAAACAGGTTATCCACACAAACAGGTTTTTCAAATCCTAATGCAGAAACAAGCAGTTATAGTAGAAGGCCAGTTATTCCGCCACAGGAACCTTCATCTTCTGCAGTGAAGACTCCAGTGCAACAAACAGAAAAACTGATGTACACAGGGGATTCTATATTCTTTGGCGGCCCGCTTTTGAGTGCACCAGTTAGGGAAAATTTGAAAAATGAAAGGGATTTGGGTTCAAGAGAGGGCCAAGAGAGGGTGGGACTGAACTTGCCTAGGGAGTCTAGATTCAGACGAGATTCTGCCTCGAACCAGCTTCCTGTGTTTGTCCCAGGGGGTTTTGAGAGCAACCCTTCTTTTGGTTCCGGTTTGAAGTAGGGTTACATTTATGGGCTGAAAATTCTGACAAATGCATGTAAATTTCTTCCTCCTCTTGCCAGGATTGTGTATTGGAGGAATGTGCAAGTCTGAAACCAGTGATGGGAGCGAAGCTTGATCCCTTCGACCTGACTGCTTGAAATTGTTACAAACAGAGTTCTCTTACAGGGTTGGAGCAGTTTCTTTGATGAAATTCCGATTTAACGTATCGGCATTAGCTGAGGTTTGTGAATGAGGCGATCTTAAGAAGTGTTTCTTGCGCTTTCTTGACATTGTAGCCAAAGGATTTGTCTAACAGAGCTCCATTTATACTCTGAATATTTTTTTTTATTAGCAAGGTATCTTCCCACTATTGAGCTGGAACATGTAAAATCTATCTTTTTAGATTTATCCCATTTTTACTTCCCCATCTTCTTTTGCTGTCGAACTTTGTTGATGTTATCAAATCTCCAAATCCCATTGTTTTGGTTGCTTTGCTTTTAGTTGTCTTTCATTGCATTCTCGTCAAACTTCCAAGCCTGTCTCAGCTCAGCTCACCAACGTTTACATAAGCGTCCTTTCATGATTTCTTAACCAAACATAATGAATTATAAAAGCACAACATTAAATATAGAGCGGTGATTTTCCCACTCCTATTTCTCCTATTTTATTCACTTACACTTTTTTTTTATGAGTGGTGATTTCCCCACTCATTTTTCTCATATTTTATCCACTTGCACTCTTTTTTTATAACTAAAAAAGGAGTGTAAGTAGATAAAATAGGAGTGGGGAAATCATTGTCCTTTTTTATAACTAAAAAAGGAGTGTAATTGGATAAAATAGGAGTGAGGAAATAAATATATAATAAATAATTTGGAGGAATCACCACTGACTTAGAGTAACCCAGCTCCTAAATCATTTTTAGTATAAATTCAAAAAGTTAAGTTGTGGGTTTGTCATTATGACATAGATTCTTGTATTCTTGTTTAAATATATATTCTATCAATATGACATTATGACATACGAAAGTGACTAGTGAATGAGCAATTTCCACCAACTCCATTATCAGACTTAGATGATTCTTACAAATATAAAATCACAGCATCTCCAAAGAGTATGCAAATGAAATAGGCAAAATTATATTATAACAACTTAAGTAGCATGTTGCCTACTCATTTGCCTCATGAAAAAAATTATTCACTCCAAGCGACTAGGCAATGCAAGTGTACAAATCATTATTATATTATTTATTTTTATATTTTACATTTACATTGTTTTTTTTTTCTGTCGAAATTCATTTACTATTATATTTTATAGAAAGTATGTGAGATAGTGGAGATGATGATATTTTATTATAAAAAGCAAGTGGGGCATAATATACCTCTTCACTTTGAAGTAGACAATAGTCTTATTAAGGAGAGTAGGTATATTTTGCCTACCCATTTGTCTATTCCCTTACTAAAAACCTTACATGTAACGGGAATATCATTATTTTGCTATTCTTGACCAATAACACAATGACATGTGAAAAATTTATCTTACGTGTTATTGCGTTATTATACAGAAATAACAAAAAGTGTTATCCCAGTTACATAAGAATTTCTCTCATTCCCTTGGAACATGAAAATACTAATATAGCAAGGCAAATCTTATATACCTACTCTTTTGTCTCTTCCCTTCAAGATGCTCAATTGCATAATTGTTTGTACACATCAAGTGTAGGTATTTTTGGCAGACAAGGTGACGGGGCTCCATCACACCAGTCAATGTTCAATGAAAATATGCAAAGAAAATTAAAAAAAAAAAAAAACGAGCAAAACAGAAGGCTTCTCTAAAATGAAGCAAATAGAAAATATATGTTAATAATATGTCAAGAAGATTCTTAAGACTCATGATATTTTTCTCCATTGGATTGGGTGTGTGTAGGAGGTGAGTCATAGTTGGTGAGTTTTCTTTTATTATGATCTGTCAAACTTGCAGTAGCTTAGCATTTCGCAAGTGATGTCCTTATCGTGATTCATATATGGAGGGCCAGTCGACGTTGGGCCATTTGGATCAAACACTACACTACACACAACCTTAAAAAACATGAAACACTGATCAAAGGCTATTTTTAGGCAATTTCATTTTATCCACGTAACAAAAATAAAAAGTACCACGAAAATATACAGTTTTGCAATTGCCAAGTTTCCCTAGGACAATCTGCATTTCTTTTTTCCACTGATTCAACTTTGCCACTAATTCAAGAGCAGTTCAACTTAAAAACAACCTTATTCCAAAACTGTTGAATATATTCATATGAAAAAATCATACAGCATAATACTATAAATATGACGATGTTCTCGTTCAACTTACGCTGAGATAAGAATATATATATGTGGTGAGATTTTGTGTTTATCATTACAGCAAGCTTAGGCATATAATAATTTCGATACCGAACCTTTCTGTATCAAAACATGATTTACTTTCTTTTTTTTTTTCCACAAGAAAATGGGGAAAACCCATACCCATGAGATAATGATTTTGTTCGTGAAATGTCATATATATCTTTTGCTATGGACTAAGAGGATAAGAATCTTGGGAATTTTGATGTTGTATACGACAAGAAGATAAGAGTAAGCAAAGGCTGTTTCAGTCTTTGTGCAACTTGAAGATATAAAATTCAAAATGATATCTGTTGAATAATTGAATGCATATTCTAGTGCAGTGCGTTTCTTTCGTTATTATCAAATGTATAAAAGCTTTCTTTTTTATCAACTAATAAGCTCAATTGTTGGCCAAATCCTACTTTTGCATATTAACAACTCACAATAATCTATCAACTATTTTTTGTGATATTTGGACATGCGCATTAAAAATATGAATTTAAAATAAGAGTAGGGTTGTTTGCCTCCGTAAAATTAAGGAGGAGCTCCTATACTTTGCATTACACATTTCAGTATGAGTTGGTTTTGCAATACTTCCATTCTTACCATGTAAGTATGAGCTTTTATATTCCTATTAATAGCAGTGATAGTGTGACATGTGTGCACAATTTTATTTTTTTTTTTTTGCTTTTTTTATGAATTATTTTTGCATATGTGACAAACTGTGATTTGCATAAAGTAGTATCTCCTAAAAAAAAGTATAATTCTAATTTTTAATAATTGTAAATGTACAAGTTTCAATTGGTGGATGTTGCAGCATTTGATGTAGTTTAATATACAGAGAGATATTGTGGGAACTTCTCCAATAATAGACCTTTTCACCACTGGCGGACCCAGAAATTTTTTAGCGGATGTGCAATATTGACTAAGTATGAAAATGATTTTTCGGAATAATCATTTTCTTAAGATAATTTTTGGCGGCTTTTATTCCTTATACATCAAATAAGAAAACTTGATTTTATGGAATTTTAGTATGAAGTATATATTGACTTAATGAGCCATCATTTTTAGCCTAAATCGTATTTTGCACTAAAACCGAATTTTCATATTTTGATTTGGTGGGAATTTGATTTTCTAGTATTTTTATTTGAATCCAAATAGGAGGTACTTCCTTATTTACATTGTAAACTTAAGTAAATGGAGTAATATAAAAATAAATAAAAGTAAAAAAACAAAGACATTTACTTAAATGTTGAAAATGAAAATAAGGTAATTTGTACACCAGTTGAGCAAATGGGCAATTTGAAGCACCTACAATGATTTTTCCGGCGAAGGGAGGTGCAGCTGCACCTTCTTGCGCCTTAATAGATCCGCCTCTGCTTTTCACCCCCCACACGCATGGTAGAATTCAATTCTCACTTCTCTTCTTTTGAAAGATGAAAATGACGGGTTTTTTCTATGAAGATGAGAATGACATGTCATTTAGATGTGAACGCAGAAGACTTTGATTTTAAGCTATGTTTAATAGTAGCAAATGATTCTTTTTTGCCTTTTTATTTATTTTGGTGGGAAAGCAATCCCACATTTGGGGAGTTGGAGAAAATAGAGTATTCCACTTTCTTGCTCCACTTGCATGTAAATGAAGGGAGATTCTTAATAAATATTTTATGTTAAGAAGTAGTTATATATTTTTAATTTCGGATGCATCCAAATTTACAAATATGTAGCTAATTTTTAACTTAAATACTTATTAAATAAATATTGAAGTCCCGTTTGATTCATGGGAAAGGAGACTTAGGAATGAGAAATCAATTGGTTTTCCATGTTTGGTAAGTTCATATATGGGAAATTGTTGTTTGGCCCATGAGAAAGTAAGGAGGAAAGTGAAGCCAGTCCCAACTTGAATTTTGTTTTCCCTCCTCATGATTAAGTTTAGGAAAATGAGTCAACATTATATACATATTTTTCATGACCATTTTGTTCTCATTAACAATTTAGAATTACAATATATCATTAGATGTATTTTTTTTTATTTGATTTAGTATGGGTATAATTAAAAATTTATACAAACTTTGTTTTTCATTCATACTCAAAATAAACATGGGAAAGGAAATAAAATGGTATCTCCCAGCATTAACAAACGTGGGATAGGAATCTTCCACTTCTCATGCCTTGAAAAATGACATGTGAAATAATTTCCCCTTAAATCCATCCTGCGAACCAAACGGGGCCTGAGGGAAAATAATGGGCAATGTGGTAAATGAAGCGTATTTAGACATATTTGGCCAGTCATTTTCATCATTGTCGTCACACTCAACAGTTTTAATTTCCCCAAATAAATCAAGTATAGAAGAAACCAAGGCAGGTTCTGTCACTGAGAGTCTTAGTCTCTGTCCACTACAAAAGCTCTCTACTTGCTTGTTTTGTTGTAGATAAAGAGAGCAAAAAGATGGGTTTTAATCGTCTTCTTGGATCCAATCTCAGAACCCAGGTATCAAATCTCAAATACACATTTGGGTTTGTGTTTGTTTTCTGATTGCTTTATTCAGTATTTGTTATGGAAAACTACACTTTGAAACAGAAGTTACCAGAGTATGAATACTTTGTGCATTTGGTTTTGGATCATTTCATTCAGTTCATCATCTTAGAGTTTTGATAAATTTTCAATATTTTGGCTTTGATCAGTTTGTTGATACTTTCCTTCCTAAAGTCTTCGCTCCTTTGCGGAAATGTTGGAAAAGATAAAACTTCAATTGCCCTTTGGACTTTTCTTCTAATTTGTATGACTTTCATGTCTTATCCGAATCCTTGAAACTTTGTATTTCTTGCTCGGTTTGTGGATCAACGTTTGTTTAAATTGTTCTTTAATCATCTTTCTTTCCTTATCAAAACCATAAAAAAAGGCGAAGGTGAGATGCACCAGTTCACAAATTGCATTTAAACTTTTTGACGTTCTGTTTGGTTGCTGAGAAAATGTTGGGAAAAGTAAGGACTTCAGTTCAGTATCTCCAACAAGTTTTAATTTTCCAATTGCTATTATACACAAGGTTTTCTACCGTAGAAGATTGCAACAAACTACCCCCCTTGTTTTCTTGGTGACTTTGTTACAGTTTTATCACTGGCTATGTCTTTTATTTTTGTATTTATTATGTTATATGAATATATTTCCTCCATTTTGGTTTTGCATGATCAGTTCTGAAAGCCATTTTGTTGCTAAATGTTGTAAACAAAAAGAGATCAAATTTTCAGTTTTAAGTATACGGAAACCAGGAAAATAGTAGGAAGCATGGTAGAACTAATTGTACCAGCTGATATGACCTTTGTCTCATAAAGTGTTCGTTAATGTGGTCAAAGTAAAAAAATTTATTATTACTACTTCCTTGTTGATGCTGAGAGATGGCCTTCACCTTGAAGATTTATTTTTCTAATAAAATAATGGCCCCATTCGTGATGATGAGTTTTGTACATATGATTACACACACACACACACACACAACTTATTGGAGAAATATTGTAATTAATATATCCGTCTTTCTTATTTACAGCTTCGTTCATGTACAAAATATATTGCTGCTTCTAGAAGTCCACAGGAGCATCTCTTTCTGGTTCCCTTTCTGTCCAGGTCCTACAGTACAGGGTCACCTTTGCAAAAGGAAGAACCAATAACTGATGAGAAAGTTCTAGGGTAGGTGGTCTTTTACACTTAATTATCCACAGTTCAACCTCCCTCTGTGTGCACACTTATTTGTATATGATAATGCATTTTTTCATGCATGTGTATCTTATTTGTGATTTTGCATCTGCACTGTACTAGTAGTGTACTTGTGTAATAGCCTAGACATTTGCATGTGTGCACAAGAGATTCCAATCTAATATGTACTTAATTGTTGACACATACTAACTCAGGTTCAAGGGGCATGATATGCTTGCGCCCTTCACAGCTGGGTGGCAGAGTGCTGATTTGCATCCTCTGATTATAGAAAAGTCTGAGGTAAACTTCTTAGTTGTGTCCTTGAATTGGCCTAACATTGTCTCTGTGAAAATAGAAGTAGCTCAGGTGCACAATCATTGTATGTGCTTCCTTATTTTCAAAGCTGATTTTTTTGAAGTCAAGTAACAGAGTTGATTTTTGATTTCAGGGTAGCTATGTTTATGACATCAATGGGAAGAAGTATCTTGATGCTCTTGCTGGTCTATGGTGCACAGCATTAGGTAAAAGATTTGCTTCCCATTACTATTTCTTTCTCAGCTTGAATGTGTTGCTTTGTCCTTATTATCCTGCTTCTTAAGACTGTTTCTTAGATTTTTATATTACTGGGTCACTTGAAACAGCCACAATTACCTCACAAAAAGTACTGAATATCTCTCCAACTGCATTTCTCATCATTATGTTTCTTGCACACCCTGCTTTTGAATAAGACTATTTGCACTGGTCACCTTTGACCTCCTTTATCACCAAGTATAGATCCTAAGCTACCCCTACTATCTCACTTATAGCTTTGCCTGGCCTCACTATTGTAAGTTAGTTATGTTTATTTGTCAAAAAATAGGTGTGTTGAAGAAATTTGCGAAGTCATCTACGTTCATGTGTATATGTGAAAGCACTTGAATTCATATTGTTTAATATTGAAATTTGCAGGTGGAAATGAACCTCGCCTAGTTGCTGCTGCAACTCAACAGTTGAATACCTTGCCATTTTACCACTCCTTTTGGAATCGTACTACTAAACCATCTTTGGTATTCATATTTTTTCATAACTTCCTTGTTTTTATATGTAAATTTGCAAATTTCGATTACTACTGCTGCTACATGCATGTCATGTCATTTCTAAGTTTAAGCTAGAAATGTAAGGAATTTTGTTGTATTATTTAGAAAAACCTTGCTTCATATCTTTGCTCCCTATTACACTGTTGCTATATATGTTGTACGTGCCAGATAGTTCAATGGATACCTTCTTAAGATACTTGCCTGTGATATTAAGTAACAAACTTTATTTTACAGGACTTGGCAAAAGAACTTCTAGAAACTTTTACAGCTACAAAAATGGCAAAAGCCTTCTTTACAAATAGTGGATCCGAAGCCAATGATACTCAGGTTTGATTAGTTTCTATGAGAATATTTATTTAAATACAGTTTCCAATTTATATAAGATGGAAAAGTGAATTTATCCCGTTACATGATAACAATGATGTTGCATTTCTATCATGATTGCTGAGAGAATAGCATTTATCAATTAATACAATGTATGGGGATAAAATAACCGAAGTGAAGGATAATTCAAAACTTGAAAATCTTATGAACACCCCAAGTTTTGAAGATGTTTCAGTTGCCTGAATACCAAGTCCTCTGAATTTAACTAGTGGAATTGCATTGTTTGGTCAGGAGTTCAAGGATGATATTAAAGCAATCAATGACCAGTTTGTCTATATGTTAGAACTCTATACATAATGTCTTTATATTTACTTGAAATATTTGCTTTGTAGGTGAAGCTAGTTTGGTATTATAATAATGCACTTGGGCGCCCGGATAAAAAGAAATTCATAGCTCGTCACAAATCGTATTTTCAACTTACTCAACTCATTTTGTTTTCTCTTTATTTCCTCTAGTCATTGTACCCAAGTCCTTTAATATTATCTTTGCATCCTGACAGGTACCATGGTTCAACTTTAATAGCCGCAAGCCTTTCTGGGTAGGATAAATATTCTAGTGAATTTCTAAGGAAAGATCACCCTTCAGTGCATTGACTCTAAATTTCTTTTCACAGCCTTACAGCTTTGCATAAAAAATTTGATCTTCCAGTTCCATTTGTATTGCACACCGACTGCCCACATTATTGGCGCTATCACCTTCCAGGTCTATTTTTACACTGGTCTAATCTTAGAGATTTATTTTGACCAATTTATTGATAGCTTGATAATGGATATGCCAGGTGAGACAGAGGAGGAGTTCTCTACCAGATTGGCCAATAACTTGGAGAATCTTATCCTCAAAGAGGGACCAGACACAGTGAGTTATTCAAATATCATTTCTGGAATCCTTCTAGAAATGCAGAGGAGACTTTGTGTTTGTGACATGGTATGTTTGTTACTTTCAGATTGCTGCGTTCATTGCCGAACCTGTCATGGGAGCAGGAGGTGTGATACTTCCCCCTGCAACTTATTTTGAGAAGGTGAGCTTTAGTGATAAAAAAAAAAGCTTGAAATAAATCCAAATTTTCATGCTCAGATTCTCACCTTGTAAGCATGAAAGACCAGTTTGATAACACAGCTCCTGCTACGGGCTCCTCTCAGACATTGTTTCTATAAGTTGTCAATGTATGTCTTGGTTGTTCTCTTTTTCTGGGTTTTTTACATCTGTTGTTTCTCTGTTAATACAAATCGTTTCTTTTCCAACCAAAAAAAAAAAAAAAAAAAAAAAGGAAAAAGTTTTTAATGTATTTATGCATTGATATGGTTTTGAAGCACAAGATCCAGACTTAATATATATGAAATCTTTATGTTAAGGATAAAAGGCTCGCATGTTCTGCTTGGGTGTTGCTTTATTTCAGCGTGGCGGTTGGTGCTAATAAGAAAAAAGGAAACTTAAAAAGATCTTTGTAATGGACAAGCATTTCCTGTTTGATGCAGGTTCAAGCTGTTGTGAAGAAATATGACATTCTATTTATTGCTGATGAGGTATATGTTATACTTTTCTTTAATGTAACCTGATGTTTTGAGTAAGCTTTATATGTTGCTTGTTAAGCTTATGTTTTATTTGTTTACTTTTTAAGGTAATCTGTGCATTTGGAAGGCTTGGGACAATGTATGGGTGTGACAAATACAACATCAAACCGGACCTTGTATCTGTAGCAAAGGTAAAATGAGATTATCTACGAATACAGAGCTACTCGCTCACATCCCATGACAATATTCATTTTCTCATCACTGTGGTGTTGGATGTCCCAGGCACTTTCTTCTGCTTATATGCCAATAGGTGCTGTTCTTGTGAGTCCAGAAGTTTCAGATGTCATACACTCTCAAAGCAACAAGCTTGGTATGTTGGTAACTAATCATATTCCATGAAAAGTTATTATTCTTGAGTGACACGATTTCTTTTGTGCCAGGTACTTTTTCTCATGGGTTTACATATTCTGGACACCCTGTATCCTGTGCGGTTGCAATTGAAGCACTCAAGATCTACAAGTATGTTCTTATTTGCTCAACCCAAAATATTTGAAAGCAAAGGTGTCTTGGTTCCAACTTCCAAGGATTCAAACCAATTAGGTTCAGAATCAGGAGGAAACAGGATTGATCTCATACTGACTAAATCAACAATCTCTGTAGTGAACCCTGTAACTTATCTGAAAGAAAAAGAGTAGGGTATAAAAGAGATGACTCTGGATCATCCAGTTTCACTTTGATGCTTCAAGGGTTTCTACCATCAGCATCTTATTAAAAAATGGACCAATTTCAATTAGCTAAGTTGCACTTTGATTGATATAAATTATCTTTGATTGGCCTGCCTATGGTGGCATGACTTGTGTTAGAAATTTAGATCTCTGCTTATAGAGCTCGGTGGTCCACTGCAGCCCAGCTTACTTCAACCTGCTTTTGTTTTTATTTTTTTACTACTGAACAATAACCATTTCATGTGTTTGTAGGGAACGAAATATTGCCGATCAAGTAAACAGCATTTCACCAAGGTTTCAAGATGGCATAAAAGCCTTCTCTGATAGTCCCATTATAGGGGAGGTAAGTCTTGTTACAGAGAGTTTTTACACTTTATAGGTCAGCAAGAGAAATAACAATCACTAAGATATTTACATGGTATTCCTTGTGTCGTTATGCAGATACGGGGAACTGGATTGATCCTTGGTACAGAATTTACAGACAACAAGTCACCTAATGATCTATTCCCTCCGGAATGGGGTAAGTCCCGTCTTTCTTTATATCGAAGGAAAATGAAGTAGACTTCATCTAGTATGAATATGTTTGGCTTTTCTGGGAAACCTATCAAGGAACCAGTCAAGCAGGTCTAAACCTCATGGGGCTGGTGTGGAGGGAGGATGCGTATAATGGTCTAATTGTGTGCTAACCGGCTTTTTATTTTGTGATATCTGCCTGGTCATTCATTGGTGTGGTGGCCAGAAGGTATTGTTTCTGTTATATTATAGGTTCTGTTTATGGCCAAACAAATTCTTCCTTGTTTTTCTTGCTGATGCTCTTTGATGATATTCATCACAGGTGTAGGTGCATATTTTGGAGCCCAATGTGAGAAGCATGGAATGTTAGTACGAGTTTCCGGCGATAGTATAATGATGTCTCCGCCATTTATCATGTCTCCTAATGAGGTTGACGAGGTAGGCACATTCCTCAATCTGTTCCAATCTCCCTTAAAATGGAGCAACACTTGTCTCATTTTTATATGAAATGCTTGCTTAAATCACATCCAAGGTTTGAAGAAGCTTGAAGAACATGCTAACTAGAACCTGTTTTTTTATATTTCCAGTTAATAAGCAAATATGGGAAAGCACTGAAGGATACTGAAAACTGGGTGAAGGAGCTCAAGTCTAAGCAGAAATAATTTGTAAATGCATTAGCCGATGATGGTGAAAAATATGTACACTTCATGTAAAGCAAAGACGGTTCCTTTTTGTGTCTTGTGAGATGAATGGTATCTGAATAAAGCATCTTTTAACATTATGTTGGTGTAGGATTTCTGTCTCTTATTTTAATTATTTACATTTTAATGAACTATTATTTTACCTATTTGTTTCTTTAAAATTGAAACTAATGATTTATAAGCTGCAAATTACATGAAACAGAGGTGACCCAAATTCAAATTTGGTACACAAACTGAAATCAACATGAACAACAATTTCTGAGCATTATTTCTAAATTATAATTTCCATTTTACAACGCGTTCATCGACATATCCTCAAACCAAAAGGGCCTTTGTAATCAAAATGCAATCTTATAATAATTTGCAAATTGCTGGGATTGGAAGTAGAAGGGCAGCAGCACCTTTGAAAACGTCCAAGAAGCTTTGTCTTCAACCTTTGGCTTGTTTTTCAGCTTTTCTTCTGGACCGTTTTTCCCTGGAGCTTGGAGATGGCTTGTATCCAACAATCTCGTTATCTTTCTCGTCCAAGTCCCTAAAAGATTTCTACACATAATTTTATATAATAAAAAAACCGAAAATCTCATAAAGTAACGAACAAACAACATATTAAGATATATATTTGACCCAAAAAAGATTTATTAAAAAAAAGAAAAAGAAAAGAAAGAACATAATATTAAAGAGTTATTGGATAAAAGGGTACCTCGCTGAGCTCAGCAAAGCTCACAGCATAGAAGGTAACAGCTGCAGCAGCTACAATCCCCAGAACTGGAAGAGCTATCTGCTGTATCCCATTCATATTTCTCTTTACCTCACAATTCTCTCCTTCGTTGCTTCTTTCTAAATTTTAAAGAATATCTTCTTGGTGGATAAGGTGCATCATTTCCAGGTGTGTTTTCAACGGTGGATATAAGAACAACTCAGTGGACCACTCAAGCTACTAGAGTCAAGTTTAGCCCAACCATTCATTTTGTTAAGCATTCTCTTCGCACAGCCCACTTGTTGAGCTGCTGCCACTGGGCCATTTGTATCCATGTTCTTCAAAACATTGGACTAAGATTGTTTCATACTACCAAACTCAGTTCATGTTTTGATTTAAACTACGGATTGGAGAGAGATTCGAACTCGGGTGCAAAGCCGCTGGCACACTACCCTAACAACTAGCCTAACCCTATGAAACTCTAAAACACTGTAACTCTAACATCAGTAATCCTTTGCCATTTACCATCGGAACTGACCATATACTTAGTAATTTTTTTTTAAAATGAAGCAGAGCTATATACACATTTACTTACAACGCCTATACCTATACACTCTAGAAAGTACCAATTTAATATGAACTAAACAACCACAACAGACCTAATTAGGCAATTCAAGTAGCACTTTGCTAACATTTAAGGTTGTAATGTCAAAATTGGCAAAATCTGTTTTAAACTGCAAAATGAAGGTAAAACAAGTAATCCTATTTGATGATCAAGATGCAACTTCAGAGTACTTTCAGGTTTGATACGCAGAAAGGTTCCAACCAATGTTTTCCCTGATCAATAAGAAGAGGATAAAAAAAAGACAGCATCCTTGTACACAAAACCCTTTCCTAAGTGTCTTTATGTTTTGTAATGTTTGGGATCTTCTTCTTCACATACTCAGAGTACTCATCAGGATCCATCAGATTATTGAGCTCATCCCTACTGCTCATCTCCACCTTCATGATCCATCCTTTTTCATACGGGCTCCCATTGACCTAAACCATCCCAATTACCAGACAGAAATTAACAAAGCAAGATTAATTACACTTATAATCAATGAAATTAGCATAATGTTAATTAATTCTTACCAAACCTGGAGAGCTAAAAAGCTCTTTGTTCACTTCAACTATGCTGCCAGAGACAGGAGAGTTAATGTCTGAGGAGGCCTTGACACTCTCAACACTCCCAACAATGGTGCCTTGTGCAACAGCAACACCAACATCAGGCAGCTCCACATATATAACATCACCCAAATGTTCCTGAGCATGTTCTGTGATTCCCACACTAGCCAACTTCCCTTCATCTTCAACCTTAGCCCACTCATGGGACTTTGCAAACTTCAAACCATCCACAGCTACATTAGACACAGGACATAAATCTTAGAATTCATTTGAAAATATGAGACTTTGCGAAGATAAATCATGAATTTTGAGACTAGGGTTTTCAGAACTACCAGAAGAAAAGCCTCCACAGGGAACAGGCACCCTCAAAGACAAAGCAGCTCTTGTTGACCAAACCCTAGTCAATGCCATGTCTCTCTTTGTCAGGGTGTGTTACCACAACCTGGTACTTGCAGCCCTCACTTCTCAGTGATCACAGGTGGTTTTATGGTAATTTGGAATGTGGCTGAGTGCCGTCAGTTTTGAGTTCTATGCTTCCCAGACCAAGAGGACACCTGTGCAGGAAATCTTGTGTGGAGGGCTGACGTGTCAACTATTGGTGATGGGATCACTAATGGCTCCATCCACTGCCATGATTTAGGTGGTAAAAATGAAACAATTTTGACTTTGTGGGTATTCCTTATTCATGGTACAAATCGATACAGAGAAAGAGAGAATCGAACTTATGACTTAAGATAAAGGAATAAATGATTTTAATCAATTCGTCAACAAATCTCTTGTCATTGCCATAGTCTTACTTTTATATGAATGTGAATGCGGAGAACGAGAATCTCTGAAGAGGAAGAAGAATAAGAAGAAATTTGAGAAAGAAATCTTTGAAATTGGAGAATGTGTTCATTGAAATTTTTTCAAATTAACAACAGCTAAAATTCAATAAATTTCAGAAATTAATATTCAATTAGTCAAACATTCCCTATAGGAAGATTCACTGTTATACCAAATACAGTAGCCTAAATTATAAAAATACCCTATATGAAATAGACTTTAGAAACACACTCAAAACTCATTTACTACATAATAAAAAGACTTCTAACTTATTATAAATTACAAAACTGTCATTGATTTATTAAAACAAGCTCAATCCCAAAATCTCATAAAAAAATTTCAAAACACTCGATAGGGCATCAAAGTAATTTAATAATCAAAATTAAATTCAATAGGGCCAGCTCTCAGTTTTTGAGTTTTTTTTTTAAATAAAAATTAAATGACGTAGAATTTATCATCATTAATGCTAAGAATGAGTATACTTCATTTATATAAAAAAAATCAAATTAACAACAGCTAAAATTTGATAAAATGCAGAAATTAATATTCAATTAGTCAAACATTCATTATATACATGTTTGTTTCTGATCAATGACCAATTAGGACTGCCGTCTTTCTTCTGATAAATCGGCCAAATTATGAATAGGTGTAGTTGGTTTACCTGGTTCCAATCCAACTTAGAAGTCCAAAACAACTAGTCAAAGGTGGTGCTTGGCCGGCTATGATGTAGACTTCTACTCCAACAATTCTAGTCTCTGTTTTCTGGCCGCATGTTTTCCCATTCCAAATATTTTCCAAAAGTTCAAATGCTTTATATAAATTCAAAATACGATCCTATATTTTTCTAACTTAATTTTGCCTAAAAGTTTTCATTAGTATTACTGGCCAACTTTCTTTAAAGCCTTAAATGTTAAAATGGTGTTTTACTCACGTGGTTAATTTAGTCTCTGTGTTTTCAATTTGGCCGATTTAGTCCTTGTGTTTTATTCACTTGGTCAATCTTGTCAATTCTATTAAATTACTATTAAAAAAATTCATAAATATTATTTAAACTAATAAAAACTCTCTAATTATTTATAAATAAAAAAACCAGAAAGTCTCAATTTAAAAATGAAAAACATTTTTAACAACAAAACAGTTGACTGATTAAATCGAATATGTAAAAAAAAAAAAATTTATATCCAAAAAACAACGCAGCTATGAGGTGGGGAATGGAAGATGTACAGTGAGGTGGGATTGATGAGAGAGAGAGAGAGAGAGAGAATCGGGCAGTGGCTTGAGAGAAGAAGAGTTATTTTTATTAATTCGCTATTGTAAACTGAACTTAAATTTTTAGAACAATTACAAATTTTATTTATTAATTTTTAAAACTTTAATGAATTGTTTTAACGGCAATGTAACGGATTAGACAAAAATAGTTAACGGAATAAAACATAAGAACTAAATCAATTAAATTAAAAACACAGAGATTAAACTGACTAAATGGGTAAAACACAAAGATCATTTCTACATTTAAGCCTTCTTTAAAACAACCATTTACTTTGAAGTAGGTGGAGTTTGGATCATAAGAAGATCGTTCCATCGAATCCTAGCACATGGTAATGTCCCTAATTAACAATGTGTGCTTTTATTGCTCTTGATTTGTTCTTCCAAAATGTAATAAGAAAATCATATTGCAATTAGTTTTCATATACATTATAAACCCATTTCATATAATTCTTCCAAAGCTAACATGCTATTGTCTTAGAAAGTTGAAGCCGAAAGGTTAAAGCTTTAAGATGCATTTGTCATTTTCTAAGTACTTGTTTTCTGCACATCTTTGTTTGTTTCTGATAGACTATACCTAAACCAAACATTTCCATATGCAAATAACGTCTGTCAAACCAAACAGCTAGGCAAGAAATCCAACTGTATACGGCAACACACTTACATTGATGGATTACATGTGAGATTGGGTTGGATCAAAATACAAAAAGTCCGTTCTTTGTAAAGACGATCACACAACTATATGATCCGAAGTGTCGAATATAAGAATTTATATTTACATTAGATGAACATAAATAAAAATATTTTATATTATCAACCTATAAGTCTCATATTCATATCATAATTTGGATTCATTGAAGGGGTCTAAAAAGAGAAACATATATGGTAGACCAAGCACCTAAAATTTGTATAGGACCCGTTGAAGAAAGTGGAAAAGGTGCTGAACAGACCAAGCAAACCCACAAGCCAAATTGGAAATTTTATTTATTAAAGCTAATAAACAATGATGCCAAAGGGGAGGAGAAAGCAAAATGTCTTCATCGACTAAAGAAAGACAGAGTTGTCATGTTGGCACGCCTAGATGGGCGGTTTGGTCGGTCGCCTCTGGCCGCCACTCTCAGACCAAAAAGCCACCATTTTTAATTTTCCTTGCATGGCAATGACCAATTAAACCTCATTTATGTCTTATTTCTCACAACTAGCATTCTTGGGATTCAGAAATTCACTCGATCAAAAGAAAAGGAGAGACAATGAGAAATTGTTGTAGCAATTTCATGTTACGCATTTACAGCATCAGTTGAGAATGTAGTTGATAAGTGAAAGAGAAAACAAATGAATTTACTTCCAACTATTGAGTAAAGAGTTTGTAGTTTAAAGTAGTTAAGAACATTCACTTATGCACCAAATTCAATCTAGGAGCCTAATATGCATAAGACATATCCAGAAAATCCGAAAATCGAACTAACTAAGATGATGAAAGATATAGAAAATTGAGTCGATTCCAACTAATGTACCAGATGTATAGATTACCCTGCTCTAACTAAAATTTAGGAGCCTAATATACAGAGCATTCACAATAGGCTTCCTAAACCACCTTCTTAGACAAATTTTAGGGAGGAATTGTAAAAATTCAACTCCAACCATGCTCCCTATCCACCTTCTAAAAGAGTTGATAAGTCTCGAGTAAAGAGTTTGTAATTTAAAGTAGTTAACAACATTCACTTATGCATCAAATAATATACCAAACTCCATCGAGGAGCCTAATATGCATAAGACAGAAACAGAAAAATCGAAAAGTGAGACTAACTGAGATGATGAAAGATATAGAAAGTTGGGTCGATTCCTACTAATGTACCAGATATATAGATTCCCCTACTCTAACTAAAATCTAGAAGCCTAATATACATAAGACCCTATCGTCACTGGTGGATCCATAATTTTTTTTGCGAAAGTATAATTTTGAAAGGCTAAAAACTCTTTGTGGATTGAACATCTAAGACTTTTTACCTAAATTGACCTTAGGTCCCTTCATGCATTCATATCATACATGAAAAATTATTTTATGTAAAAATATTGACTAATTATGAAAAATTATTTTTCGGAATAATCATTTTCTCAAAATAATTTTTAGCGGCTTTTATTCCTTACACATCAAATAAGAAAACTTGATTTTATGGGATTTTAGTATGAAATATATATTGACTTAATGAGCCATCATTTTTAGCATAAATTGTATTTTGCACTAAAACTGATTTTTCATATTTTGATTTGGTGGGAAATTGATTTTCTAGTATTTTTATTTGAATCCAAATGGAGGGTACTTCCTTATTTACATTGTAAACTTAAGTAAATCGAGTAAAATAAAATAAATGAAAGTAAAAGAACATAGACATTTACTTAAATGCTGAAAATGGAATAAGGTAATCTGCACCACTACCAGCTGAGTAAAGAGGCAATTTGAAGCACCTACAATGATTTTTTCGGCGAAAAGAGGTGTAGTGCACCTTCTTGCGTTCTAATAGGTCCATCACTGCCTATTTTATTGAAATTATCACAATATATTTCTCTATTTAAATCTCAATTTCTTATTCCTAAGCCTAATATTCTGTATCGACAACATGGATTTTCAAATCAATAGGTTTCAAATCTACAGATTTGAAATAGATGAAGAAAAAAAATTCCACCAGATTTGAAAATCCAAAATATATATTTAATTATCTTTAAAATCCAAAATATGCCAAAAAAAAGAAGAAGAAAATAAAATGAAAATCCATATAGATTTTTTTCACCATAATATTATGTCTTTGGTTGGCATTGTAATTAAAATGAAATCGGAAGGCAAGAGTTGCGAATACAGCAAAGTTGCTACTGTCCGATTGAAAATAGACGGCCCCACCTTGCTGTCCCATGGCACTACGGTGGACCCCACTGCCTCCTCACTCATATTTATATACTTGGAATCTCTCCCTCTCTCTATAGCTCCTCCTCTGCCTTTTCGTCACCAGCTCAGCTCCTAATCACTCCCGTTTTTCGTTTTCGTGTATCGAAAAAACAATAAAAACGCTTCACAGAAATCTGAGGGAAAAACCAATCAGCTTTTATCAGGCAAGCGATCAATCTTTCCTTATGCTCTGTCTTTTCTATTTGTATGTATGCATGCTCTGTTTTTCTAACTTGGTTTTCATTCTTTGAATTTGAACTGTTTTCTGTTCCTCTGTGTTTCATGCTTTACTGAATAGCCTAGTGTTCTGTTTCTGCTTATTATTATTTTTTATTTTATACATGGTGATGTGATCAAGCATCAAGCTGTGATCTTTCTGTGATAATGTTATCTGCCATCTGGGTTTTATTTAAATGTGGTTGAAAATTGAGATTTTGTGATTTTGGATGACCAATTCATATGAGAAATTCTTGTGTTTCTGATTTCAAAGTTTGAGTCTTTGAAC